GAAAGTAAGGTTTTGGCTCCACAAATAAAGTGAAACATTTTGAATTGTCCACCAAAACTATTTCGGTCAAAAATTTTGACCGAAATAGTCTAAACACTTTAGGCACTTTAAATTGTATTTTACACATTTCCTTCTTGCTTGTTTCTGCTCTTTCGTTCATTCCGCCTTCCACACCCATATTTCTCATATTTCTCTTCCTTTTAATTACTTCCCCTCGTTATTTCTCTTTCCTCCCATCATTTTCTTTCATTTCTTCCTTTTTATCATCTTCTCTTTTCTTCACTTTCCCTTTTCTTTCATTCAAGCTTCTCATCCTCTTATATCCATTTTCTCACATTCTTTTTTCCTCATATATTCCTTCCTTTAGTTTCATCTCCTTAAATTTCGCTCATTTTCTTTCTTCCTTTAATTTTAATCTTATTAGTTTATTTCTTTTCCAATTTACAAGTTTGTTTCAATTAATATTGATATTAATTTTATTTTTTGCAGGATTTTATAATAGAAATTAAAGGAAGGAGGCATCTCATTTGGTAATTTTTTTTTATTGTTTATATTTTGTTAAAATTTTATAATTTTTTCTTTTTATTAAGTTTCCTATTTAGTTTGTAATTTGTGATTAACTATTTTTTGGTGTTAAGGGATGGAGAAACTTAAAAAAAAAAGTTAGTAATTAACTCTCTACCATTTAACTTAAATTTAAATATTTTTATAGAATTTTGATTTTTGTTGTATATAATATTCAATTTAAAATTTTGATATATTTGAATTTGGATAAAATAAATAGATTCTTATTTATTAATTAAACGTATATTGTAATTACAAAAAAAAAGAAGCAATTATATGTATACTATAATTACACAAATATATTATTTTTTTTTGAATTTGAAAATAATATTTCGGTCAAAAAAATTTGATCGAAATAGTCTAAAATAAAATATTTTTTTATAACATTTTTGGTCAAATTTTTTTACCGAAATAGTCTAAAATAATAGATTTCTTAATAATATTTTCGGTCAAATTTTTTGACCAAAATTATCTAACATTTTCGATCAAAATGAAATTTTGTCTGAATTACTATTTCAAGCAGTGGTTATTCGGATCAACAATTCGGTCAAATAATTTAACCGAATTACTTCTTATTCGATCAAAATTTGTACTTATTTGGTCAAGATGCTTGACCAAAAAAGACCCTAATTCTAGTAGTGACTTTGGATAGTTTGTTCAAAATAGAAAATACACGAGAGCAATGGTGCCAAGAAATAATATCTAGTTTCTATTAGAAAGAAATGGAAAATATATGTTTCAGTTCGGGTGTACTTCTTTTATCTAATCTGGACTATGCAAATTCTTATATCCTTTTAATAAATCTTTCTTAAGTATGAATTTCTGAAATTGTTTTCTAACATCTAAACTAAAAAATTATACTCTAAATAAAGTAATGTACATAG